TGGAAAAGACCTTTAAGATCATCCAGTCCAACCATTAATACAGTATTTTAAAAAACCCAACGCCTGTGTCTGAGATAGATGTCAAGGGCCATTCCTGTATCTCTGCTGCAGTTTTTGGTCTTGTAGACAAAACTGTGTCCAGCAAGTCTCAAAGAATCCCTGGAATTTTCAAATGCTTCTTTGTACTGTTTCTGAAATTGAGCTTAGAGTTTTATGAGGTATATATGTTTTCAGAATTGTCGTCTGGAGAACAATTTTTGACAGAGTATTTTCTCAATTTTCTGCACATTAAAAATATTCATCATTGTAAAAGTTGGTCCTTACATTATAAAAAGAAAAGTATGCACATATGGTTTTTGAATCTTAATTTTTAGGAGTATTTGTTTTCTTGTTCTTTATGTAATTGAAATTTTGACAGTTCTATAAGCAGTTTTGTGTGATCTTGCTGTGCTGTTTGTGGTAATAATTTGTCTTTGCATTCATATACTAAAAGTTGGAAAGAAATAGATGTCATTTAGAAATAGGTGTCATGGTTTCACTGTTTTGCTGTGAAACCAAGAGGATACTTTTTCTTTCTGCCTTTCTGCCTTTCTGTCTGTCTGTCTTATTTCATATACCTTAGTGTTGGCAATATGGGTCTTTAATAAAGATAAAAAAGTCATTAGTAGCTTGGACTCCATCCATAACACAGTTCCTTTCTGCACTTCAGTGATTCGGTATGACTATTTTGGTCTTATGTTCCCCCTTATGCAAGGGATAATCTAAACAGTCCTGTCTAAAATAAACTTTAAAAGTTGTCTTCATATGAGCAAAATAATTGGTAACTTGTTTGTAATTTGGTGCTCCTGATACATGTACTGTATATGGTACACTGAATATATTTAATTGACTTCCTGTGAGTTCAGTTTACTGACTAGAGGTGGCAGTACAGAAAGATGAGAAAGAAAAGCTTCCCAACCTTATAATATAGATGCAGGCAGATTTGTGGAAACTTGGTAGGATAATCCTTCCTGATCCTGAAAGTCAACACTTTATTCTCCAAGACAGAAGATAACTGGGAACTGAAGGTAGAGACATACTGCAGCTTTAACACGTAGGATATTAGAAGATTTGGAATCAGCAGTGGAAAAAATGAGGTTAAGATAAAAAGAAAGAATATTGGGAGGAGATATGGAAAAATATAAAATACAGATTAGCGATTACAAAGAGCTTTCCATATAAAGAGAAGGTGCTTGATATTTACAGAGCAGTAAACTAGAAGCCAGTGTGAAGGAAGTGAAGGAAATAAAAATGGAGAATGAAAATTACTTTGGCAACAACACCGAGACATGTTCACTTAGTAAGAAATGGAGACGTGAGGAATCAGACATGGCAAGAGTGCAATAAGCAAATGATAAATGGAAATTAACACTGTATGAAATGTATCAGTTCTGGAAATACTAAAAGGGAACATGCAAGATTTGTTTTGCATTTGGTGAAAGTGGTAGAAGGTATGTTGTAGGTTTGCCAAAGTGCGGAGCTGCTCACCTCACCTTTCCAGAAATGGGATTAGGTCACGTTTCCTTCCGTGTCTTCTGCCACCGTTGCTGTCATGGTCATGTTACTTTTTCTTTTGAATACCTCCTGTGATTCTAGATCTCATTTCTTTGCAATTCGTGTTGCTGATTCCACCACCTGTGTCTTTTATGTTTCTATATAAATCTGTGTTTGCTGTATTTGTTTACTTGACAGGTTTTACTCTACACTGCCTGATACTGCCATTACTTTGAACATTTTTTTTTCTCTTGTTCCAAATAGATATATCTGGATCTTGCTTTCCTTAAATCACGTGACTTGTAATAAAGTCCATAAAAACCAAAAATTATCCTCATAGGGGAACTATCAAACTTGTTAATTAAAACTACTTTTTTGTGATTTTCTGATAACTGGTTACCTGTTTTTTTTGTTCATTTCCCAAGTGTATGACCGGTACCTCTGGCCTCTGCCAGCCTTGCCTGCATTTCCGGAACGAGCGCTT